TCCAGTACAGTGGTCAGAATTTAGCAATTTTGCCAATTTCACACAAATTTCAAAAAATGCCAATTTCCGAATAGGGTCCAGAAATAAACAAGAAAGACATTCCTAGCACTAAAATGACATTTTCCCTAGTCATTAGTAAGTCTCAAGGCCCCTATTATATTCTTTTGCTTTCCACTTTGAATTTTTATTTTCACAAAAAATATAAAATTTACTTTTAAATGCAGACTATTGATTAGTGTAAAAAATGGTATAAATATTTATTGGTGGCACTTGTGAAAGAATATTAGACTCACCAGTTGACGTGTATTGCACGCTTGGCACGATTTGTGTACTTTTGAAGTTTGGTAAAAATCGAACATTTCTGCTACTTTGAGCTCAATTTCAGGCACTTTTCTTTGTAAAAACCAGTCAAAATCATCTCAATTTCTGTAATATGTTTCCATTCTAAAAATGAGACCAAGAAAACAAAAAAAATACAATAATAAAAATACCATACGAAAATACACTGCAAATCGCTGATTTTTATTAAAAAAAAATGGTCAAAGTTTTTTTTTTCTCATTATGCACTGTGTGCTGCAGGATTTTTTTTAGACTGTGCACACTGACCACATAGACCCATTCTTTCATATGAAGGCCTACCAGCTTTCCTCCCACTAGATTTGAAGGCCGCTAGAATTTACGAGTACTAGTACGTCAAAAATCCCTACGCGTAAGACGTACTAGTACGACGAAAACCCTCAAAGGGTTAAGAACTTTTTAACTGACAGACATTTTCATGTTCGGGTTAAAAATGTGCTCCCCCGGGACTTTATCCAAGCTGAAGGGGGTCCCCCGGGGATGCGTTCTGAGCACAACACTTTTTCTCCTTGCTGTTAATGATTTGGCCTCTAGTCTTCCATCAAATATTTGGTCATCACTTTATGTTGATGACTTCGCTATTGCCTGTGCAGGCGCTGACTGTCACCTCATTACAGTTTCTCTCCAGCATGCAGTCGACCGTGTTTCCAATTGGGCCACCCCCACATGAGTTTAAATTTTCCAGCACTAAAACCCACCAAATTACTTCACTAGAAAGCTCTGTCATCTCCGATCATCCTTTGTACCTCTATGGCTCCCGTATCCCTGAACAAAGGTACAGTCAAGTTTCTGGGCCTCCTCTTTGACCGTAGGTTATCCTAGAAACCTCACATTACCTCTCTGAAGGCAACTTGTCACAGACGGCTGAACCTTAAAACCCTTGCTCATCTTTCATGGGGAGCTGATCGTCGAACCCTCCTTCGCCTACATTCCACCCTCATTTTAAACGAAACTTGATTTTGGTGACCAGATCTATTCAGCGGCATCTCCTGCTACTCTCTCTAGCCTTAACCCCATTCATCACCAAGGATTACGTTTATGCCTTGGTGCTTTTCGCTCTTCCCCTGTCGAAAGCCTCTATGCAGAAGCAAATGTTCCATCCTTATCCGACCGCCATGATGCCCATTGCCTTTGCTACTATGTACGCTCTCATGATCTCCGCAATCCTTCCATTTATAGAATGGTCACTGATATTAGTAGACATTCTTTATTTTTCGCCGCCCCTGCTTACTCCGTCCCTTCTCTCTTCACCTTCATTCGCTCTTGTCTTCTCTTCAATTACCACCTTTCTATGTTCATGTAGCATCTCACTTTTCCTTACCCCCCTGGGAAGTTCCAGCTGTTCGAGTCTGTTCTTTCTCTCTCCCTTGCTCGAAAGCCCAACTGTCTTCGGTCGCATCCCGCTCTCTTTTTCTTGACCACTTCCACTCTCATTCTCATGCCATTGCTGTGTACACAGATGGCTCTAAGTCTTCTGATGGCGTAGAATTCGCAGCAGTGTTTCCGGACAGCGTCGTACGAGGGCATTTACTATCTTCGGCTAGTATTTTTACTGCTGAATTGTATGCCACCCTTTGCAGCACTTATCCGTATTGCATCTATGCCTGTATCATCATTTGTGGTTGTCTCAGACTCCCTTAGTGCTTTACAGGCTATACAGAAATTTGATACACCTCACCCCTTAGTCCTCCATATCCAACTTTGGCTACGCCGCATCTTTACCAAGCATAAAGATATTGTTTTTTGTTGGGTCCCTGGTCATGTTGACGTACAGGGCAATGAACAGGCAGACACTGCTGCGCGGTCAGCAGTACATGAGCTACCAGTTTCATATAGAGGTATTCCATTTACGGACTATTTTGCTGCAATATTCCCCACCTCACACCTGTTGGCAACAACGTTGGTCTACTATGCTCGGTAACAAACTTCAATCAATCAAACCAAGTATAGGTTACTGGCCGTCTTCTTATCACCAGTGTCGAGGTTGGGAGACTACTCTCTCCCATCTTCGCATTGGCCATACTCGTCTTACTTATGGATATCTCGTGGAGAGGCGCCCTGCTCCTCTCTGTGAGAATTGCCAGGCTCCATTATCAGTCAGCCACATTCTGTTGGACTGCCCACTTTATCAACGAGCACGCAGAATTTACCTCCGTCGTCGTCTTCACTCCGCTGCTCTCTCTTTACCTTCCCTTCTCACTGATGGACCCACCTTTCATCCAGACTCTCTCATTGACTTTTTGACAACAACTGAATTACTTCACAAATTCTGATACCTTCAGCCCTTTCTACCTCAATCTCTTGCTACCCTCTACCCCCGTACTATCCCCTGCTCCGCTGTTTTCTGTAACCTACTGATCATCCCTCCTCCCTTCTGCCGCCGAATACCCTCGCTTCCCTCCCTACCCCGCAGCGCTGTATAGCCCTTGTTGCTTAGTGCTTCTTTTTGATTATAATAATAATAATGGAGAAATTGTCCAGTTTGACACACTAGTAACTCTATGGTCAAACACTTTGAGTACTTTCCTAATCTGAAGACTTTGAGTTTAGTCTTGTACAACATAATAGGTGGATGTATGTACTTGACTGAGTCTCTTGATCCAAGGAGATGGAAATACTGTTTATGAGCTCTAGCTCTAAGACAACCAACACTAAAATTCCTATTAATCACTCTCTCATAGTGCATTTATTTTCGTGATGTATGTCAAAGTGAAACAGTTAATTGATACTCTGACTTTGTCGGAGTTGAGTACTTTAAAACTTCAGACGTGTTGGCGAGTAGCCAAATATCTTGGTGTGACGTATAACAGGAATTACACCGCAGTAACTGTCAGAGCGTTAATTAAAGATATACTGTTTTCTGCTCATGCAGAGATGTCTGATTATGATTCAGATACAGAGAGCCTAGTGTCGCTATTAGAAAGTATGACTATTTGATGACGTAGAAGAGAGAGCAACTACAGCAGAAGTGTGTGAGCCTAGTGTAACTCCATTCACGCTCACACCTTCCCGCCTGACTAACGCAATAGTACAGAGTGTAGCTGGTAGTATGACTCAGCCTCATACTAGTGCCGTGTATGCTACACCTGTATCTACTTATCCTAGACCAGATCTAGACTCTCTAGGGATGGCTGGACAAGGTGTCCGACCTAAGGACCATCCAGACTCATTCGTTAGATTCCGTACTCCTCCGTTACCTACTGGTCCTATCTCTGAGGAACAGTTTGAGAGGATGGAACGCCTCATTATGTTGCAGACTGCACAATTAGAGGCACAGAGGAAATTGAACGAAGAAGATTTCCAGAGAGAAAATGTTCGTCTCGGAAGACAACAGACTGATAGAGCTGACAAAGTTCATAAACCTGTTAGTATAACACAGGACACATTTAGCCCGTAAACGGTCCAAACGTATATATACGTTTTTTCAACATTTGAAAGTATGTAAAAAAAAGTAGATCATCTTTTTGTTTTTTTTTTACATTTGAAAATGTGTAAAAAAACTTTGATCTTCTTTTTTTTTTTTTTGTTATATTTGAAAATATGTAAAAAAAAACGTAGATCTACTTTTGTAGCACTACACATGTGAACGTAGATCTGCTTGGACCATTTACGGGTTAATGTGCAGAAAGCTGCCTCAATGGTTCCTAAGTTTTTTGAGAGTGACTTAAACACCTATTTTGATGTGTTTGAGAACCAGGCATGTGCTGTGAACTGGCGACGTAAGCACTAGGCTACCTTGTTGCACACAGCTTTGACAGGAAGAGCTCAAACTTGTACTGTGGCTTTACCATTTGCCAAGTACATTAGTTATGAGGCTGTCAAGGAAACTATTCTAGAGACATACAACTTGTTACCTGTAAGTTATCAACATGCATTTCGTACGTTACAACGACGACAAGATCAAACTTGTGTAGAGTTTGCTCGTGAGAAAAAAGTTGCATTTGAGAGGTGGTACAGAGTCGCTAAGTGCAATAATTATGACAGTCTGGTTCAGTTGTTACTTCACGAAGAGTTTTACAATTGTATGTCTGCTGACATACAAGAATATCTGATCGATCATACTGCCTTGGATATTCTGGAAACTGCAGCATTTAGCAGACAGTTATATTATATTCTCTCACATCTAGGCCCAAATTTACCGCTCACAGTTTATCAGAGTGAGCTGAGCTCATGGCGTAGATCTACGGTTTGGACCCTCAACGTAAAGCCGTAGATCTATGGCATGGACCCTCAAAGGGTTAATTGCATATCATGGATAATAAGCTTCATGGTCAGAGGAACTTCTTGTTATTGAGTAGAAAACAGAACTTTGCAACACTGGAGGCTGTGACACGAGTGAACATATTCTGCAAGATCATTAGACTCCACAAAGCATTGAGTACAGTAATTATACTAAAAGTAAGACTTTTTTTGCATTTTGTGTGACTGAAGATTCATTAATTTACTTTGTCCAAAATAAATATCTCATGAAATTGGGTAAGCATAAGTTAAATTATTGAATATCTGCTGAATATTGAACATTATATAAAGAATGTCCTTAAAAAAATTTATTTTAAGCAGTAGGGTTATAAAATCAGAAATTAAATATAAATTAATTATATTTTTTAAATGTTAATGTAAAATGAATACAATATTTCCCACAGAACACAGGTCATCTCACACCAAAAGTTTGGAATGCTCAATTTGCCACCAAAGACTGTCAAACCGCCATGCACTTAATGGTGAGTAAAAAAGTTTTCCCCTTAATAAACTGCATGGCTTTTCTGCAACTTGAGGATTAGTTCTGTATGCCCAATAATTTTAACGTTTTGTAAAAATGAGGGAAGTATACCATGCTTGATAAATCATAATATTTACCATGATACTATCCACTGGCTCTGGTGCACTGAAAAACACCAGTATCTTCTCATTTTCATATTGGTAGTATCTATCATAACCTGAGGACAGTCTTCACAGGCTTTCATTTTCAGCAAGGCTTCTGTAATAAATTGTGTGTTTATTACCTTCCTTCATTCTAGAATAACAGTTTTGGAGCAATACTCACTATTATCTGATGTAGTTTTGCTCTCTGATGACAGTCAGAGAGCAAAAATGTAAGTGATCATATTTAAATGTCATCTAGGTTTTCAGAAGTCCTGATTTGACAGAAAATGGGAATTGTTTAAAGAAAAGGGGTTGAAAACAAATCAAAATGGGCAGAAAGTGGTAGAGAGGTTAGAACCTGGTGTTTTAGAGGTTCAACTTAAAGGTGGTGTTTTCCTTAAGTGGTTTATCAGAACCAACGTGCAGAAAGATTTATGTGATAAACTAATTAGGAAATTTAAGAATAATATTCAGAAAATAAAAACTCCTTTTTTTTTTTTTTTCTTCCAGTACACAAAAGAACTCATACTGGAGAGCGGCCATATGAGTGTACAAAATGTTCCTCCAGATTTACAACACGTGGTAACCTTGCCCGCCACCTAGCTAGCCATGATGGAGAGAAGCCTTGGCAGTGTTCAGTTTGTGCTAAAAGATATACTGAGAAGAAGTCCCTCAAAGTTCATTTACGCACTCATACTGGAGAGAAGCCGTATGCGTAAGTTTGTCCATCTCTTGTTTGATAAACTATGGTAAAAGTTTGTATTTAAATTTTACACAAATTCACAAAATTCTTGGTGGTTGTTTTCAATGAATATTGCAGTGAAGTTTTTTGGAAACAATGGTTCATTATTTTAAAATTGTATTTTTAATGATTTTTGAACTTTAAAGATGCTGAAAGCCCAACATCTGTTTCTTTAGGTGCACACAATGTCCCAAAAGGTTTTCACAATCCGGAATTCTTCAGGCACACATGTTAATACACACGGACCAGTTTGCTCATTTGTGTGACATTTGTGGACGCTCCTTCAGACAGCGATCTCAGCTTATAACACACCACCTTCGTCATGAGGGAGTTCGTCCATTTGCTTGTCCAGAATGTGAAAGGAGATTTACTACGAAAGGTAATGAAATTTTTTGACTAGCATTGGTACATATAAACCTTGATCATTATAAAAGTGTACTGAATACTTCCCACCTGTAGAGAAGAAAGCAGCAATGGAAATGAGAATATATTTCAATTCTCAGCTGGAGTCCTCATCAGCAGAATACAGCCTCTCCTCACTTCGCAACATACTCGTTTACCAACGCCTCAGATTTACAACGGGCTCTCTGACCAGTATTCGTACCTAAATAATGTATATTTGAGCTGATTTTCTCTATTCTATTTATTTCAATATACAGTACACTACTGTATAAACATTTAAAAATATACCAGAAATGTTATAAGTGGTGCAAAGGTGACATGCACCTCACTTAGCGATGAATTCATCTTAGGAATGGAACCCCCATCGTTTAGTGAGGAGAGGCTGTATATACTAGAGGAAGGAGGGGTGACAAGTCAGGTAAAAAGCTAAATACAGATGCTCCTCACTTTACGATGGTTTGACTTACAATATTTCAACCTTATGACGGTGCGATGGAGATGAACATTCTGTACTGTACAATACTGTACATTTATTGATAGAATAAACTTATTATTTTTATTATCACACCGGCCGATTCCCACCAAGGCAGGGTGGCCCGAAAAAAAAAAACTTTCCACCACCCATTCACCCCAAACACTGTCTTGCCAGAAGGGTGCTTACACTACAGTTTTAAACTGCAACATTAACACCCCCCTCCTTCAGAGTGCAGGCACTGTACTTCCCATCTCCAGGACTCAAGTCCGGCCTGCCGGTTCCCTGAATCCTTCATAAATGTTACTTTGCTCACACTCCAACAGCACGTCAAGTATTAAAAACCATTTGTCTCCATTCACTCCTATCAAACACGCTCACGCATGCCTGCTGGAAGTCCAAGCCCCTCGCACACAAAACCCCCTTTTTACCCCCCTCCCTCCAACCCTTCCTAGGCCGACCCCTCCCCCCGCCTTCCTTCCACTACAGACTGATACACTCTTGAAGTTTTTCTGTTTCGCTCCTTTCCCTCTTTACATGCCCCGAACCACCTCAACAACCCTTTCCTCAGCCCTCGGGACAACAGTTTTGGAAATTTCCCGCACCTCCTCCTAACTTCCAAACTACGAATTCTCTGCATTATATTCACACCACACATTGCCCTCAGACATGACATCTCCACTGCCTCCAGCCTTCTCCTCGCTGCAACATTCATCACCCACGCTTCACACCCATATAAGAGCGTTGTTAAAAACTATACTCTCATACATTCCCCTCTTTGCCTCCAAGGACAAAGTTCTTTGTCTCCACAGACTCCTAAGTGCACCACTCACTCTTTTTCCCTCATCAATTCTATGATTCACCTCATCTTTCATAGACCCATCCGCTGACAACGTCCCCCTCCCAAATATCTGAATACGTTCACCCCTCCATACTCTCTCCCTCCAATCTGATATTCAATCTTTCATCACCTAATCTTTTTGTTATCCTCATAACCTTACTCTTTCCTGTATTCACCTTTAATTTTCTTCTTTTGCACACCCTACCAAATTCATCCACCAATCTCTGCAACTTCTCTTCAGAATCTCCCAAGAGCACAGTGTCATCAGCAAAGAGCAGCTGTGACAACTCCCACTTTGTGTGTGATTCTTTATCTTTTAACTCCACGCCTCTTGCCAAGACCCTCGCATTTACTTCTCTTACAACCCCATCTATAAATATATTAAACAACCACGGTGACATCACACATCCTTGTATTCATTTATTTACTTTTAAGACTGGTATTTAGTTGCAGTAATTATTTGTTTATTTGCTTATTAAGTGACAGTAGTTATCTTCTTTCAACAAACCAGCTGTATCCCACCAAGGCAGGGTGGCCCAAAAAGAAAAACGAAAGTTTCTCTTTTTAAATTTAGTAATTTATACAGGAGAAGGGGTTACTAGGCCCTTGCTCCAAGCATTTTAGTCGCCTCTTACAACATGCGTGGCTTATGGAGGAAGAATTCTGTTCCACTTCCCCATGGAGATAAGAGGAAATAAACAAGAACAAGAACTTGAAAGAAAATAGAAGAAAACCCAGAGGGGTGTGTTTATATATGCTTGTACATGTATGTGTAGTGTGACCTAAGTGTAGGTAGAAGTAGCAAGACATACTTGAAATCTTGCATGTTTATGAGACAGAAAAAAGACACCAGCAATCCTACCATCATGTAAAGCAATTACAGGTTTCCGTTTTACACTTACTTGGCAGGACGGTAGTACCTCCCTGGGCGGTTGCTGTCTACCAACCTACTACCTACAATTTATTTAGTTATCATTCATATTTGACTTAAGATATTTTCAATTTACGATGGGTTCTTCAAAATGTAATTGTATCATAAGTCGAGGAGCACCTGTACAGCACAGCAGTTGTCATACTATGCCGAGACATTAAAGACTCTATGAACAAAAAAACTTGGGTAGTTTCAAACACTGTTTGGACAAATATATGGTTGAAAAATTTTAAATTTAAAGATATATCTGGCAAAGTCCAGTAGACATATTGCAGTGCTCCTGCCTAAATTATTATGTTATAAACTTATAATATTGACTATCATCTCGCCAACTGTATTACTATGTTTGTCTTTTCCTAATATAGTAGTTTTAGGTTTATGGCCAAAATGTGTTATTCAAATAAAACAAATTTAGCAATAAGACCAGGTCTCCATTGTTCCTTCAGCAGATTGAATTTTCTTGGGTGTTGATCATTGCTGATTAAATTATTTTCCTCTTGTACGGGCAGGCATTTTGTATGACAGTAGCTTCACTCCAGTTGATAGAATGGTTTCAACTGTCTCTCTGCCATTTAGTAGGAAATGGCATGAGGAATTGCACTACATGCTAGTAGCTTTCTTTGGTGCTTAACAGTATTTTATTACATGTAAACTACATTTTGCATACTGCAGAAATTGTTTGAATATAAATGAGTTGATGGTACTTCTCTTTCACAGGAGACATGGACAGACATCTTAGAATACACACTGGAGAACGACCGTTCCACTGTGATGTATGCGGCTCCTCATTTGCCCGGCCCCAGACTCTTCAGGAACACAAAAATCGTCACTTTAACTTTAAGCCTTATGTGTGCAAAATATGCAGCAAAAGTAAGTTTCATCATATTATTATTTTTTTTTTCAACATGTCATCCTCTCCCAGCAAGGGAGGGTGATGCCAAAAAGAAAGAAAACAACTCACCATCATTGAACACCTTCACCATCATTCAACATAATCACTGTCCCTTTGCAGAGGGCTCAGATGTGAAAAGTTGAGATGTCACTCCAAACAGCAAAATATCCCAAACTCCTCCTTTAAAGGTCTGAGCTCAGACCTCTGAACATAAATTTTTTCCCCCAAGATTTGTTAAGTTATACCATGAATTTAAAAAAAAGATCCCGCTTTTTACCTACAAACGACAAAACAAAAGCATAGTAATTAGGACAAGGTAAATTACGTGGAAAAATGAACATTTATTAGAGGAGGGGGAAACTTGTGTGCCCTTAAACTGCAGGCATTGTACTTCCCATCTCCAGACTCTTAAGTCCTTTATGTTAATATTTTTATTATTATTTAATAAGTTACAAGAAATGATTGGGGCAAATGCAGTAGTTTATTGAATTATGTATGGTAGATAAAAGACTGTTGAGTAACTTCAGGATGTACATGTTATGGGGGGCCACAAATATAACAGATCACTTTCTAGTTGTAGCAATGAGAGTAAAATAAGGGGATAAAGGAAATAGAAGCATCAGGGAAAGAGAGGTGAAGTTTAAAACTAAAAAGGAGGAAATTAGGGTAAGATATAAACAGCTATTGGAGGATAGATGGGCTAATGAAGTTAGGCAATGGGGTCGAAGGGTAGGGGGGGTTTTAAAAAATGTGTGTTAGAGTGTTCCAGAATTTTGTGGTTACGGGAAAGTGGGTGCGGGAGGGAAAAGGAGCGATTGGTGAATGAGATTGAAAGAGTGAAAGGAGAAAAATTAGATATAAAATTTTTTTTACAAAGTAGAAGTGATCAAGGAGGGAAGGTTTTGGGAAAAAGAGGATTTTAAAGAAGTGGTGAAGAAATTAAAAAAAGAAGCAAAAGGAAGTGGGTGAGATGTTACAAAAAATTTTTTTGTTGAAATAAGAAAAAGTTTTGGAGTAGTTTAACAAGTTAAGAAAAGCCTAGAGAACAAATGGATTTGTATTTAAAAATAGGAAAGGGGAATTTATTAAAATGGAGAGTTAGAGGTATTGGGAAGATGGAGGGAATATTTTGAGGAATTGTTAAATGTTTTTTGAAGAAGGGAACTGTGTTTTTGTGTATGGGGCAAGGAGGAACAACATCTTGTAGGAGGGGGAAAGAGCCATTTGAGTGGGGGGGAAGTTTCGGAGCAGTGGGTAAAATGAAAGGGGGTAAGGCCCCGGGGTTTGATGGGAAAAAAGATAGAAATTTAAAAAGCAGGGGGGATATAGTTTTGGAGTGGTTGGTGCAATTTTTTAAAAATGTATGGAAGAGGGTAAGGTCCCAAGGGGGGGCAGAGAGCGCATAGTTCCTTTGTATAAAGGAAAAGGGGGGAAAAAAGAGAGGCAAAAATTATAGGGGATAAGCTTTGAGTATCCCGGGCAAAGTGTATGGAAGTTATTATTGAAAAAATTTAAAGATAAGACGGAGAATGGATAGCAGTAACAAGGGGGTTTTTTGGAAAGGTGGGGGTTTTTTGGGACCAGTGTTTTACAGTGAAACAATAAGTAAACATATTTAGAAAAAGGCAAAGGAGGTTTTCGTGGCATTTATGGTTTTGGGAAAAAAAGGCGTATGACAGGGTGGATGGGGGGGGCAATTAGGGTATGGGTAGGAGGTATTTTACTGAAAGCAGTGGGGTTTTTTACGGGGATAGTGAGGCTCAATTGAGTATGTAGAAGAGGGAAATTTTTTCCCCCAGTAAAAGTAGGGCTTGAAAAAAGGATATGTGATGCACCGGGGTTGTTTAATATTTTTAAAGAGGGGGTTGAAAGAGAAGTAAATGCGAGGTCTTGGCAAGGGGCATGGATTTAAAGATAAAGAATCACACAAAAAGTGGGGTTGTCACATTGCCTTTGTGATGACACGTGCCTTTTTGGGGATTCTGAAGAGAATTGCAGGTTTGGGGGATGAATTTGGTAGGTGGCAAAAGAAGAAAATTTGGGAAAGTGAAACAAAAGAGAAGGTTTATGAGGAAAAACAAAAAGATTAGGTATGAAAGATTGGATATCAGTTTGGGGGAAAGAGAGTATGGAGAGGTGAACGTATTCAGATATTGGGGGGCGGTCAGGGATGGTCATGAAAGATGAGGTGAATATAAAAATTGAGGGGGGGAAAAGGGGGGGTGCATTAGGAGTCTGTGGAGCCCAAAGAATTTTTGCCCTTTGGGAGGAAAGAGGGAATGTATGAGAGTATGTTTTACCAACGCTTTTAATGGTGGAAGCATGGGGTGATAAATGTTGCGCGGGGAAGTGGAGCATGAGATTATGTTGAGAGAATGTGGGGTGTGAATATAATGCAGAGAATTCGAATTTTGGAAGTTAGGAGAGGTGGGGATTCCCAAAAAAACTTTTTGTCCAGGGGGTGAGGAAGGGTTTTTGAGGTGTTGGACATGTGAGAGAATGGACGAAACAGAATAATTCAAGAGTATGGGTCTGTAGGGGAAGGAAGGGGGGTAGGGGTCGGCCTGGGAAAGGTTGGAGGGGGGGGAAAGGATTTTTGTTGCGGGGGGCTTGGATTCCAGCAGGCTGCGTGAGCGTGTTTGATAGGAGTGAAGGGAGACAAATGGTTTTTAAAATTTTTTACGTGCTGTTGAGTGTGAGCAAGAACATTTATGAAGGATTCAGGAAACCGGGGCGGGCCGGATTTGAGCCCGGGAAGGGGAAGTACAGTGCCTGCACTCTAAAGGGGGGGGGTTTTTAATTTGCATTTTAAAAAAAACTGTATGTAAAGCACCCTTCGGGCAAGACAGTGATGGATGAAGAGGTGAAAGTTTTTCTTTTTGGGGCCACCCTCCCTTGGTGGAACGGCCAGTGTATAATAAAAAATAAAAAACTTTATTTTTTTTTTCATTGCTCAGTATTATTGAATCAAAGGGAAACAGTTACTACTTGATTAAAATTTACAGTACCTAGTTTTTATATTTTTAAAAAAAAATTAATAAATTTAAAAAGTATGTTGTGTGTTTTAGTGTTTACGAATAATTTTGTACCCCTCAAAAAAAAACTGTAAAATTAGTAAAATAACGGGGAAAATTAGAGATAGGTTTGTTTTTGGTACTTTTTAAATCTAGCCATCATCCACTGGGGTAGGGTCCCCAAAAGAGAAAACACACTCCCATCATTCTTCACCACTGTCTTGCAAGAAGTGTGCCAACACACTTTAATATGACCCTCTGAATTCAAAAATCCTTCCCTTTCTTTAGAGTGAGGCACTTTAAAAAGATAAAATTTTTTTTTAATCTACCTTAATATGTACAATATATAAGGCTTTCTCGTCAGGTTTCCCATGAACTTCTGCTTTTTCGAGAAATGAAAAGGGGTCTTCAGGGGAAAGAGAAAGGAAACTTGCCGCATCTGCCACATACTTCGACTTAAAAACCCTGATCAACAACAGGGAAGGAAACTTTAACGTAGAAATATGTGACTGATGTTAAGTTTTCAAAATTGGCATAGAATAAAGTTGTAAATGAATACTGAACCTTCAAATTGCCATTACATTCTTCATATCGAGAATGTCATTGGATTTTTGGGGGGGTTCACTTAAACAGTAAAGAAAATAACCTATTGATATTTATAATTGATTTTTTAGGTCAGATAGTGTAGAATACAATACTAAATTATTTTATTTTGTAATTACATACATTTTTTCTGCTTAGAACATTAACAGCTATGATTATACAACATTTTCTTAAAAATTGTTAAAATAACTTTCTAAGAGATGTTCCCAAAACTCGATCTAGCAGTATTTTTTTTTTAACCATTTCTGTTTTTTTACTTTTTTATATTATTTTAAATTAAAAAATTAAATTTTGATATTTTTTTTCTTGTTCTTGCCTTACACCAATAAAAAGTTTTGGTACCACTTCTATGGCACATTATCCTTTTTTTTTTTTGACTCCATAGATAATTTTTTTATAGAGCCCCACACCACCTTTTTTTTTTTTCCTTGCTTACCAGGGTTCCCCTTGTCTTTTAGACCCATCTATAAAAACTGCTAACCTCCCCCCGGGCCAGGATTGAACCCCGGTATAGCTCAAAACTCCACCCCGTCGCTTTACCCATAGACCACTAGCCACAATAAGTTGGATAACTTTTGGGGCTATGGTCTAGTGGCAACGTGACAGGCGGAGTTTTGGACTCTATGACCGGGGTTTAATCCCGGGTGGGGGTTGGTTTTTTTGCAATCGGTCATACGATTTCTTGAGTCATGAACAGTCTACACCCAAATACAGGGGAACCTCTACTTGCGATTAAAATCCTTTCCCATGACCTTGCTCGCACGGGATTTGCTTTTTTGAGATCAATTTTCCTCATTTAAAAAATTTTAAAGAATTAAATTTCCCTTCCATGGAATTCTGTACTTCATTAATTTCACTAATATCAACTCTAAGGCTTATTTTTCTATTCACTTCATCTAATAGAATAATAAAAAATAAAATAAAAATAGAAAACCCGATATATACTCTAAAAAGAATAGTCATTTGTTGGGGGCGGCGGTGGCAGGTTTGTCAGGAAACCCCACAAAATACTTTATGAATAATTTCGCTAAATACTATATTTTTTTACACACAGTTCATCTAGTTGAATAACAAAAAAATATAAAAACAAAAAACATGATATATACTTAGAATGAAAAAAAATTCTTCTGTAGTGGTTGGGGGGGGTTTTCGGCGGTGGGGCGAGATTTGTCTGGGGAAACCGGGCAAAAATTTTTGAGAATAATTTCACAATATCACTATCTGCTTTTTTATATATCACAGTTCATCTAATTACATAACGACAATATAAATAACATGAAAAAATATATACTCCCAGAATGAATAAAATATGTCATTTTGTAACAGGTGGAGGCACCAAACCCCTCCCTCTTTGTTGTGGG